CATAACTCTTACGGACAGGGTGGGGTGGTAGTTCACCGGACGACACTGTGCATATTGGGCGGCTCCTTTGATATCTCCTCCAAACATACTTTTATTGAATGATCCATTGAACGATGATACACATCTCGTTGAATATATCAAGGCACTAATTCATCTTTCATAAACGTTTTTTTTGTCTTTGTGCTCAATATATCCACATCTCAACGAAAATATGTAATACATGTATCCACAATTTTTTTTTATACATATACAGGCTAGGTATTTGTCCACAGCAACACCTGCATAACTGTTTATTCGCGCGTGGTGTGGTAGATCGTAATTGACCGAGAGCAAGTATTGTAGAATCACCTGTAAATAATGCCGACACTGTAATTAGATACAACGTACTAATGAGAATATGAGAATTATCATAAGAAGGCCGTTGTTGTTTTTCTGAACTGTTACCATTTTCATACCAAAAGTGACAATGCATTTAAAAGTTGCTTTAGTGTCATATTATTCACTCATTCGCCCGTAAACATCGCACCGCATATAATGAAATAATTATTTCGAGATTTCGTTAGAATGTGAAATATTCAGCTAGACGTTATGCAATGAAAGACGAATCGGGTTTTTTCCCTTTTAAATACGCGCACGTGTACCTGTATATTGCATATCTATTGTCACTTAATTTCCCAGTGTGATGTATTAACGAGACATAAAATGGGAAGTGAAAAAGAAACAAACTAAACTTTAATTCGTTGAAAAATAACGCCAATGAATTGGTGTACACGCGCATGAATTTGTATGATAAACTGTCAAAACGTTTTGAGAGATAAGGCCGGGTTCATTAAAGATCGTTGCAATGTGTTAAAAAGGTGAAATTTGTAAAACTTCTGCAAAGGAAACATCCAACCAAGGCCCTTTTAAAATAGTAATGTAATGATATAATACAAAGTGTGTTTCACATGATACAATATACTTTGTAAACAATTAGTTAATTCTTTAAAGGGACTGACGAAAACATGGGCGAAATATTTTTAATAACGCCAAAATTTAGTTGAATTAAGTTAAAATGAGTTGAATCATGTGTCATGCTTATAATCCCTTAATGTATTTGCGAAACTAAAACTGTTGAGCAAAGGAAAATATGCTCGCCCATGGGCCAAACCTTTTTCTCGCCCATGGGCAAAATATTTCAATATCGCTATAAAATCGTCGTATTAAATCGTTGAAATGAGTTAAATTTTGTGTCATGATACTTGATGAAATACAAGTTAATTATTTGCGAAACAAAAACAGGAGTTTTGTGTAAAGGAAAATATTCTCGCCCATGGGCGAAATATTTCAATATCGCTATAAAATCGTTGAATTAAGTTCAAATGAGTTAAATTTTGTGTATGATACTTGATGGAATACAAGTTAAGTATTTGCTAAACAAAAACATGAGTTTTGTGTAAAGGAAAATATTCTCGCCCATGGGCCTGCCCATGGACCAAGCCTTTTTCTCGCCCATGGGCGAAATATTTCAATATCGCTATAAAATCGTGGAAATAAGTTAAAATGAGTTAAATTTTGTGTCATGATATTTGAATGAATGCATTAAAATATATTTGCGAAACAAACACATAAGTTTTGTGTAATGGAAAATATTCTCGCCCATGGGCCAAACCTTTTTCTCGCCCATTGGCGAAATATTTCAATATCGCTATAAAATCGTTGAATTAAGTTAAAATGAGTTAAATTTTGTGTATGATACTTGATGGAATACAAGTTAAGTATTTGCGAAACAAAAACATGAGTTTTGTGTAAAGGAAAATATTCTCGCCCATGGGCCAAACCTTTTTCTCGCCCATTGGCGAAATATTTCAATATCGCTATAAAATCGTTGAATTAAGTTAAAATGAGTTAAATTTTGTGTATGATAATTGATGGAATACAAGTTAAGTATTTGCGAAACAAAAACATGAGTTTTGTGTAAAGGAAAATATTCTCGCCCATGGGCCTAGCCTTTTTCTCGCCCATGGGCGAAATATTTCAATATCGCTATAAAATCGTTGAATTAAGTTAAAATGAGTTAAATTTTGTGTCATGATATTTGAAGGAATACATCTATGTATTTGCGAAACAAAAACATGAGTTTTGTGTAAAGGAAAATATTCTCGCCCATAGGCCAAGCCTTTTTCTCGCCCATGGGTGAAATATTTCAATATCGCTATACAATCGTTGAATTAAGTTAAAATGAGTTAAATTTTGTGTAATGATACTTGAAGGAATTCATCTATGTATTTGCGAAACAAAAACATGAGTTTTGTGTAAAGGAAAATATTCTCGCCCATGGGCCAAGCCTTTTCTCGCCCATGGGTGAAATATTTCAATATCGCTATAAAATCGTTGAATTAAGTTAAAATGAGTTAAATTTTGTGTATGATACTTTATGGAACACAAGTTAAGTATTTGCGAAACAAAAACATGAGTTTTGTGTAAAGGAAAATATTCTCGCCCATGGATGGGCGAAATATTTCAATATCGCTATAAAATCGTTGAATTAAGTTAAAATGAGTTAAATTTTGTGTATGATACTTGATGGAATACAAGTTAAGTATTTGCGAAACAAAAATATGAGTTAAAATATGAGTAAAGGAAAATATTCTCGCCCATGGGCGAGATGGTGTAAATATTGAGTTTTTGAACTTCATTTTTTTCATTTTTTCTTCCTTAGTATGTTCCCATGAAAACAGCATGCTTATTTTTGTAAATACCTTTGACCGAGACTGGGAAAAGACCGTAGAGTTTCTGGACTTTTGGGTTTCCAGAATTAACATGGGACGTGTTATATATAGCTTTATATAGCCACATAAAGAGCTCGCTATGCACTTCTTCCGATGGTACGCTGACATACTGACGACGACCCCTTTCAACGTGAGAGCTGGATACATTTCAGGTTGACTGCCCTAAACTCTATAACCTTCGCCATAGCCAATTGTCAGTTATTCAGAAGACAAGTTCGTTTGTTTCGTTTATTCGGAGATTTAACGTGCGCTCTCCGCGTGTAATAAATTTATACTTTAGCGTATCTCGCACACGGGGTAGCACTTATACTATTGGGGGAAAAAAGCGTAATGTATAAATAAAGAAGTGCGACCCCAAAAAATGTACATTGGGTAAACCTAAAATGATAATCTAGGGGGGTGGGTTTTGGCTGGGAGGGAGGGGGTGATAAGAGAATTATAATAATATGAAAAAAATTGGGCTTGGGTTGGAGGGGTGGGGGTCAAGCGTGGGAAGGCACGGCGTGGCTGGCGAGCGTGTGGCTAGAAGCTAGGGGCGGTGCCCTTGCAGGAGTCTCTTGGTCAGCTTCTCTTCCTTAGGGTCGGGATTCTGGTAATGACTCTTGGCAAGGAGGGCGGCGGCGTTGGCGATGAAGTGTTCGGAGGTAGAGCGCGGTTGCTTTGGAAGAAGTGAAACAATTCTGTGAAGCTTGTTATGAGGAAGACAAGTCAAGTGACCGGGTATTTATATAGCGACGCCCCTTCTTCCGATGGTACACTGACATACTGACAACGACGCCCTTCAACGTGAGAGCACGATACATTTCGGGGTGACTGCCCTAAACTCTATAACCTTCGCCATGCCCAATTGTCAGTTATTCAGAAGACAAGTCAAGTGACCGGGTATTTATATAGCGACGCCCCTTCTTCCGATGGTATATTGGCATACTGACACCGACCCCCTTCAGCGTGAGAGCACGATACATTTCGGGGTGACTGCCTTAAACTCTATAACCTTCGCCATGCCCAATTGTCAGTTATTCAGAAGACAAGTCAAGTGACCGGGTATTTATATAGCGACGCCCTTTCACAACCCATCCCACAAACGCAACTCCTTATCCAGTTATATTTTGGAGAAAACATTTTACACGGGTTTGGAATATACACATGTGACACAAATATGTCACACATGGACACAAGGTCGCATACATTTCCGGATTAGTGGCAATGTCCACTGGTTCCCAGGTCCCTGACCTGGTATGACTTGGTGACATCTTCATATAGAGCTCGCTATGCACTGCTTCCGATGGTACGCTGACATACTGACCACGACCCCTTTCAACGTGAGAGCGCGATATATTTCGGAGTGACTGCCCTGAGCTCGATAACCTTCGCCGTGCCCAAACTGCCAGTTATTCACGACTGCGTATGTATAGCAAACCCAAATCACACTCATCTACACATGTTTAAATGTTTTGGAACGTCCAAGATGTATTGTTGTGACAAAATGTATTACACTGACATTGTAAATCAGAGAGCAATAAACTTTATAATCCCTTTCCATCCCTTAATTATTCAATTAGGTCATTCAGTGAACCCTTTTGCCAGGGTTGAAAGTAATATATTTGATGTGAATTTGTATATATAGCTTTATCACTGCTGAAATATGTTAATCAGGCGAAGATACAATTAGTTTCCTTAGATTTATTTGCAATTTGAGACATTAACTGTCGCCGTTTCTATCACCCAAAGTTGGTCTGGTTAACCCAAAACAAGGGAACTTGGCCAGAACGTTTAATAACTTAAGCCTCAGGTATGTCAATGATCTGACAGCGTTAAATAACTTTCAAATAGCTATGTCCTTTCCACATATTTAGCAGCCTGAACTAGAAATAAAACAGACCAGTGAAACTGCCTTAAATCTGTTTCCTTCTTAGATCTTTGCAAACAGATTCAGAGAAACAAAAAAACAATTGACTTCCCTTTGAATGTGATTGTGATGGGTGTCACTGGGTGCAGGTATATTCACCTACTTGCCACGCCTGGTGTCATGACCTTTTGATAGTGATTAATAAACACGTGTATCTATTGGCACCCATGCACATCTGGTCGTACACTGAGGGAAGCCAATACACACATACATAATTGTTCCTTCAGATTGTCCTAGTTTTGAAACCCAGTGTTTAGCCATCCATGCAGCATCTATATAACCCAAAGATGCGCAGGATGAGAGTTATTCTGGGAGGCGCATGTCATCTGCAGAGGAGAAACAGCAACTCGGGGTAAGTAGACGCACGCAACCAAATGCCTCCCAACTGAGCAGCTTTAATATGCGCATTTGACTATTACATTCGTAACTTGAAACTTCTGGAAGTTAATGATTAATGAGTACTGGACGTAAATGACGAGCTCTAATACTGGTTACTTCTCTGAAACAGAGTGGACTTATGGGTTTCAATTGCATATTATTTCAATGCGAAGATTGGTACAGATGCTTGGACCTTTATCAATCAAATAAGGATAAACGTAGAAATCCAGAAGTCAACTGTGTTTTCATTGATGTCATTGAAAGACTTTGCTTTTAGCAGTGATTTCTCATGAACATGGACAGGTTTTTGTCGCTAATATTATTATATATTCTGTAATAATTTATTAATTTCGGGCCGACTTCATTCAACAAGCCTGATGTAGTTTAATTAGGTTACTGATGGCATCGGAATAACATAACGCGATGTTCTGTACATCAGGTTTTAATCTAGATTTAAGAACCGTATACACATTTTCGGATTTTTACGTTTCCAATTAAATTGCGTTGAACAGCCTGACACACGCCTCAGCTACATTTGTTTTCATAACACCAAATAGCGTTATATTCAGTTTGCATGTGTCACACGGGAAATTGTTTTTTGTTTGTTTATTTCAAACAACACTTCACAACTCTCCGTTTTGTTGAAGTTGTGATAACATTTACGTTTACTATACTCCTCTGACTTTCGATAGATTTATACTGTTTTATCTAACATCTAAAAGTCAAAGGTTCAACCTAGTGTTCTACTTGCAATCTGTATGTTCGTACATAGGGTAGGGTATGCTGTCTGGATATTATAGCACAGCAGTTTGGTTTTTATCACTTCTACGCATCACAATCTATCGCATGGATGTGGCTATGTTCACTTCATTATAAACTAATAACGACGGTACAAAGACAAAATTCCCGCGACGATGAATTTTGCGGAGTGTGGCGTTGAACAACAAAGAAAAGAAAGGAAATCCTTTTTTCAAACGAGTAGAATACAGTGTCTGTCATAATTGTACGGGTGTTTGTTACAAAGTTTACATTCTATAGAAGTTTGGTTAAAAACTCTCTCGTCTCCAAAAAATATGGTCAGTTTTTAGCGCTTGGAACGTTTAGTCGCTGAAGTCGTGGGCACGATAACGCGTTACTGGTAATTGTTTACAGGCCGTTGTTGCATGGATGTTCGGTGCCAGGCAACACACAAACGCTGTAAGAAAGTTTTTAAAACAATTGTGTGAATGACGGGTTCTACCGGTAGGACAGGACATGCTTACCTTTCCTCAAGCACCTGGAGTCATCACTGATCTTCAGTCATCCATTCAAATAATTTTCACCAATATTTTGTCTTCTGAATCTGTTTCGTCGGTGATCGAGACCGAATGGTTTTATTTATTTCATCATAAACTAACAACGGTTGTACAAGAGCCTAGTAGTACTAGAGTACACTGTCGTGTTTACAATACATTATGATAGTAGCTTATATCACTTTGTGTTATTAAATATTACGGCGTGTCAGTTTAATGTAGGATGACTGCAAGTCATAGAGGTTTACCACCTTTACCAACGGGCACGCGTATGGCGCTAACAAACCTACAAACGCATTCGAGCCTAACCGGGATTCGAACCCACACGCAAAGGTTTCTGACGTGCCCAAGGGGCCGTACAAGTGACGAGTCTATATGTATCCTCCTCCTATCGCCCAAACATCGCCATACCAATCATCCTTTATAAAGCTTATATAGTCTTAAAAACTAAACAACAAAATGACAAGTATCCACTGTCTTTTCATGTAAATTGTATGAACAGAACGGAGGGTGATTTCCATGTTATATATGTCCACATACATGTTACAGAGCACCATTATCTCCTGTATCTTCGCAGATTGTCCGTGTGTATTTCCTTAGCATCATTCAAATACAACCTGTCAATGTTCCTTTTGCAATTCATGACAAGATATGTATGTTGAAATGTTTAGTGCCATTATGACACAAGGCATATTCCCTCGTGTATACCTTACGCAACAGGAGACACAGTTTATATTTTCGAATTGAAAGAATCATTTTGTTCCCTAGTACAAACTCTTGTTGAATTTGTAAAACACTTGTCTGAGACTGGCGACCGCGTGGAGAGTTCCTGGTCAAATGGGCTTCCAGAATTAAAATGGGGTGTGATTTTAGCTTCTTTAATACACAAACCCATACACACACATGCACGTACATATATACATACACCTATGCATTCACACACATACATACACACACATGCACACATACATACACCTATGCACACATACACACACATGCACACACATGCACACATACATACATCTATGCATTCAAACCCATACACACATACAAACACCTACGCATTCACAGCCATACACACATACACGCACATGCACATACACACATACATACACCTATGTATTAACTCACATACATATACCTATGCATTCACACCATACACACATACATAAACCTATGCATTCACACACATACACACATACATGCACATATGCATTCACACACATGCACATATACATACACCTATGCACACACACACACACACATGCACACATACACACGCATGTACATACATACTCGTACATTTATGTATTCACACACATACACACATGCACATGGACATACAATATACATAAACCTATGCATTCACACACATACACACCTATGCATTTACACACATACACATACACAGATACATACACCTATGCATTGACACACATACCCACAAACATGCACTCACATAAATAAAAACATACATACATACACGCACGCACGCACGCACATACATATATACATACATATATACATACACCTATGCATTCACACATACACACACGTGCATAGACACTCATACATACACCTATGCATTCACACACATACACACATACTCCGATGCATTCACACGCATACATTCACATACACACATACACCTATGCATTCACCCATATGTACACACAAACACATACACACCTACATACACCCATGCATTCACACACATGCACAAACACACCTACATGTACCTATGCATTGACACACACACACACATACCTACATACATACACACATACACATATGCATACACACATACACACAGCTACATTTGTGCACAGTGTCTTACAATTACTCGTGGGTGCAACATTTCATATATACTGTTCAAAAGACGTTAAAGACACGCGATGTCTTCAGATGACTATTGTTAATCTGTTGTAGTAACATGAACAAATCGATTGTTTTTTTAACTTCTTTTGAAGAGTGTATTTCATATTACAGCTGAATTCTCACAAAATTAAGACTATCAATTCCTCTTTTTCAAAACTGGAACACATACTGAGATGTGACATTTCAACAGAGTGAGTGAGTGAGTGCGTTGGGTTTAACGCCGCTTTTAACAGTATTCCAGTCATATCACGGCGTGTCAGCTTAATGTGGGAGGAAAGCCCGAAGTGATGCAGGTCTCAGACGTTTAACACTTCGGTGAAACCCACGAGCACGAGTATGGTGCTGACAAACCTAGAAACATAATCGGGGCGAACCGGGATTGGAACCCACAATCATAGGTTTCTGGCGGGTCCAAGGGACGCAACTCTGCACAGCGAATCGCGGCGCCTTAGACGACTGGGCCACCCGTGCCCACACATTTCAATAGAAATATCGGGGCAAGAGGGGGCAGAGCTAAAAGCATACACGATTGTGTTGATTGTGGTTTCGAATTCGCCCTTATTATTTATCATCAAAGGTTGTCAGAACCATGTCCATGTTTACCCGAAGCGGAAAAACATCTACGACCAGCGTCAAGTCGGGCGCTCACGCTCTCACGCACGCACGCACGCACGCACGCACTCACGCATGCTCTCACGCACGCACGCGAATTTATCCCTCCCATAGTTCCGTCTCTTGTTGATGAGACGAATATGAATACCGCTACTATGGTTTGTGGGCCTCTGTATGGAGCATAGATCTTGTCACGGAGAGCACATGTACGCTCAGAAAGATTGGCCAAGACACCCAATTCACTGTCCCTGAATGCTGGTCAAACGAAAACACGGTTGCCTTAGAATGTTTTGTGTTTGAAATTTAGCCTGTTTACCCATGTCGAATGCAAATGACAAACCACACACATGTGAATAAAAGAAGGGTAAATCGAAGGGTCGTTGAATGCATGATGCTTGTGTTGGACAATGTCTCACAGCACGGATTCTGCAAAATACTGAAATCATTATTTTAATTCACTCAACATGAAACAGCTTAAAACATTGTCTTTTGAAAATGTTTCTCAGAAAGAAGTCACTTGTGTGAATCATCATTCAGAACAAATATACATGTTATATTTCAGAATATGCCTGGCAGGATGGTTCCGTTGGGGCTCACTCGTATCTGTGTCCCGCTGCTCCTGTGTCTGATGATTGCTCATGTTCCTTCAGGCCTAGGACAGGCTGTCCCCCCGGGTAAGGCTTAGAGAAATGTTCAAAGTAGCTATTTTCTGTCATATATAAAATTTGTCTTTATCGAACAGAATTCAAATGAGATGTAAATGTATTTCTAAATACCTATTGACATTCTAATCATACAACAGTAAACCATTAGACTGTTATTTTAATTGCCGGATTTTAACTGCATCAATGTTACTAAATATGCATGTTTCTCTACACCTGACATGTTTAATTACGTGTCCGGGTTAAAAACGTAACCATGTATTTCATGTTCGAAATGTTTCCGTTTAAAGCTTTGTTTGATTATGTTTTGTTTTCGCATTTTGAAACGAATCGCCACACAAACTATTTGCAGATAAATTGAGTTATTTCCGAATAGTGATGCTTCCAGATTGATGTTTTTCGTTCGGTCTATTGTAGTATTAACACACTCTCGGTCCGGACAAATTCAGCACACAGATTTCCCACATCGGACATACACCTCACCTCCAGTAAGGAAACATTGCCCCATGCCCAGTAATAACGTTGTGTATTTAACACAGTTTGGGGCGAGATGAAACCAATTTGTGTTTGTATTAACAGGATTGGTGGGTTTGTATCCTTTGGATTTTATTATGGGAGTAGGTCAATACAGAGCTTACAGGGCTTCAACCGATGGACAGTAATCGCTAGATCGGTTACTAATCTCAATCTCCAAGAAGGTCAACCTTGGTCAGATTTTTGAACTGTGTAGTGACAATACACGCTGAGCTATCAACAGTTGATGCATTATTGTGTAGGCAAATACCATTTTTCGTACAAGGTCATATTGTCGTTAGGAGAATACAATATGGATGTCAACTCCTTATTATGAGGAAAACAACGTTTCGGAGTACATGCTTACTCCTTCATCAGGTGAATGAATGCCATGAGGCAGAGAGCATATATATGTACATGTGAGGACCACAAAATTAATAAGATAACAAAAGGAACCTGTCTGCCTAGTGCTTGGGACTTATTGCTTTGATCTTTGTCGGTGCTAATAACGACATTAACGGCCCGTGCGAAAATTCCGTCAACATTATCGTCTTTCTCTCGCTGCTATGGGATAAATATTTGAACGGAGAAGGCGTTGCACAGTATGTGGGAAACACTGCCATACAACCTCAACCATATATTAGACATTCCGGAATGTTCATTTGTTCAGTTTTTAAAATCTTAATCAGGCGTCTGAAATTTAAATCGCCAGGTTGAAACGAGTGCCGTGAAGCTCGAGAAAGCTGCTTTCTAATTGGCTAATGTCGACTTCTTGTTAGTCATTTCAGTGGTCGGTCAAAGTTCGCGAAAGGTCGTTCTGACGTAACCCGTAATGGGATGTCCTCAGATCTTTGTTTAGCGGCAGCGAGTACCAAGATCTCATTTTAATGAGATTGGGAGGTACCAAACCTAAGGCACCGAGAACAATGGGAAGTCGGACAATTTGGTACTTGGGGCGCAAGCGTGACATTTCGAATGCGAGGTCCGCATATTTGCCATGTTTTTCCTGAATCTTGTCAAACACATTAGTGTCAAAAGGGACAGAAAATGCAAAATATAAATAATTTCATTGGATTTATCAAAAAGGACAATATCAGGTTTGTTGGCCTGGATACGTCTGAGGCTGTATACGGGCCTATTCCAAAGAGTTTTGTATGATCATGTTCCATGGCGCCCTGTGTTTGTGTCAAAGCTGGGCATCCACTGACAATGTGTTGGACAGTCGCATTACATTCATTGCATATTCTACATTTCATATTTACATTTTGATGCAAAATCACACATTGGTGGTTTCGAGTGGGAAGTGACAGGCCCTGAGCAGGAAACAGAAAACCTTCTGTTTCACTTTTCAGGCCAGCCGCCTTCATCCAAGCAAAGGACTCAGGGGGGTTGCTGACCATCTCAACACACTGCACATAAACTCGATGCAGTGGTCGTTCAGATAGCTTCTCCTTGAGGGCCGATTTGATTTGGCACTTCGCTTGGTTGACACTCATTTCTGCACCGCCCAGCAGTATCGAACCATCAACAAAATCAACGCTGACATTGAGATTATGTCCCACACCTTATACTCAACAACAAAAGTTCCTGTGACACCAATGTTTTAGTGTATTTTTCAAACAAGTGACGTTTGGTTTTCAATATTGTAGTACATGTATGGAATCAAGTCACAAGAATGCAACTGCTACAGAAAAGCATGCATTCCATGCAAAAGTTGACTTTTATGCACGGCCCATGCATTTCACTACCTAAGAATGGCTATAAAAACATGTGCGTTAATGGGATTCCATATGCATTGTTTAGCATCGTGCTGACAACAACCACTCAGAAAACAACAACATTACGCAGTTATTCAACAATACGAAATGCCACGCCTGTCCGAAAATGAGCGCCTGCGAGCCATTGGTTTGCTTGAAGCAGGATCGAGTCAACGTGATGTTGCAAGACAACTTAACGTCCATAGAAACACCATTAGGTGTTTATGGCAACGTTGGCAACAGACGAATGCTGCCAGAAACAATCCTCGGAGTGGCAGGCCACGCGAAACCAATAATCGACAAGACAACTGGATTCGAACGACACACCTACGAAATCGATTCCAGCCAGCAACAGTGACTGCAAGAAGCATCCCTGGCCTTTGACGAATATCTTCACAAACCGTGCGCCGCCGCCACAGATGTGCAGGGATTGTCGCCAGGAGACACGCCAGACGTCCCATTTTGACAGAAAACCACCATTAAGCACGTCTACGGCGGTGCTGACAGCGTCTCGTTTTCACCTCAGCCACAGCGATGGACGGATTTGAGTGTACCGACGTCGAGGTGAACGTTACGTCAATCATTGTGCCATGGAAGAAGATCGGTTCGGGGGAGGAAGCGTTATGGTATGGGGTTGGATTACAGCAAGACAGAGGACCCGTTTGATAATGGTAGAGGGCAATCTCAATGGACAGCGCTACCGCGACGAGATCATCGGCCCTGTCTGTTGTTCTACCGTTTTTGCGTCGTCATGGCCTTTCAACATGACAACGCCCGGCCTCATATTGCTCGACTTGTTCAGGATTCTCTTCAACAAAACAACATAAATGTCATCCCCTGGCCGGCTCGCTCCCCTGATCTCTCATCAATCGAGCACATGTGGGATGAGATGGATCGGCGCCTTCGACGTCAAACACGTGTTCCACAGACAATCCAGGAACTTCGAAACATGCTCCAGCAGATATGGACAGATATCCCACAGGAATTTGTGCGACGCCTGGTCCATTCTATGAGACGAAGATGTGTTGCTTGCATCGCAACCAGAGGTGGAGACACACGCTATTGATTTTGTAAATTGACATTTGCGCATGTTCAGGTTTTGTTTATGAAATCTCACATTTTCTGAAGTCAGTATGGTAAATTAAACCATTTAAACACTTACAGGAGTCTTTTATCTGTTGCAAACCGAAATTATTTCAGATTTGGTAAAAAAAATTACTTTGCATTAAATCTTTTTCAATGTCACAGGAACTTTTGTTGTTCAGTATATTATTATTGTTATGACGATTATGATGATGATGTTATAAGAACTGATATTATTACAAATATCACGAAATTCATAAGCTTATATGCATGTTGCCGAGTGTAGTATAAACAAGATTAGGGTATAAGACATTCAATAACCTGCTTTAAAAATGAAACATAATATGCCCTTCAACGAGAGAAAAACTGATTCCTTGGATGACTTACACATAGATGGATATACTCTATTTCTTCATAATAGATCCGGGGCGCGAAGAAAATCTGTGGGTTTAGGTATAGCAATTAGAAAGAGATATGTAAATTATATCACTCCTATTGGGGTAAAATAGGAGCAGATTCAATGGATTAAAATCGGAAGAACATTATTTAATTTGGACTAAGAGCTCTACTTAGGTAATGCCTAAATCCTTCCCAGAGGCGTCAAAGTACGATTCATTCTTTGAAATAGAACAATATATACTTGACATATTCTCAAATAGTAATTATGTTACAAACATCGGCGATTTTAATGCCAGAACAAATGATTTATATGATTATTATGTATTTGATGAATTTGATCTAGGTGTAATTGAGATAAGAAAAGACACTGAGCCTGAATCTATACTGGAAGTCTTGAATTTGTCAAGGGTTACGGGCACACAGGATAAAACCAAGATAAATAACTTCGGGAATAAACTGATTGATATTTGTAAATATCCGAATTTACTTATAGGAAATCGACGACTGGGTACTGATAGACACATTGGACAAACAACATGTCAGGACACAAATGCAATTGCTTCCCGTATGTGCCTACCCCTTTTCATAACATTTGATAAACCATGGTTAGCAGTGAATGCAAAAAGGGAGGAAAAATGTTAAACAAAGCGAATCGTCGTTTTAAAAAAAATAATACATTAAGAAACAAAAGTGTGTCGCGACTGTCTTCGATAGCTTTTCAACAATGCATTGACAAGCATATTCGAAATTATACTAACCAAATGACCGAAGTCTTCGTAAAAGAATTGAACAGCAGCCAATTGAATTTTGGAAAATAGTAAACATACAAGGTACAACAGAAACGAGACATATACCGGACATTGCTAGTTTCTTTGATTTAAAAAAGAATAAACGTGGTTTCAATGGTCACATTTTAGACGGAAATATAAGAGATGTAGTATTTTAGTGATGATATAAAGGTGATCCATCTGACCCAAATTCATATAGGCGAATAACATTGCTGAGTTGATTCGGTAAGTTATTTACGAGTAATCTAAATGGCCGATTAAAACTCTTTTTAGTAGAAACGATCTTATAACATCAGCGTAAGCTTGCTTTAGAAAGTACTTTTCAACGACAGATTATGTATTTGTTGTTCATATGTTTACACAGATATTATAAACTCAAAAGAATAAAAACATTCCTGTGACAATATAGACTTCACAGAAGCATTCGAAACTGTCTCGAGTAAATTTGGTTAAAACTATGTCCATGAATAGAAAATCATTGATAAAATCACATGTAACATTATCAGAGTTTTTCCCATGTCTACGGCAAGGGGAAAATCTGTCACCCCTTTTGCTTTCAATCTTTCTGAATGACCTTGAATCCTTTTTTAATCGGTAACGAATGCGAAGGAATAAATATCGACTGTTTTACGGATAATGAGGCCCAGGTTTGGACACATTTGATAGGACTCTTATATGCAGATGGCACTGTACCTTTCAGCGATACTCTCCAAGGTCTACGAAATTCACGGTCGAACAGATACTTAAGGATCAGTTTATACAAAGTGGAGAGAACGCATGGTGTCGAGTCCGAAGGGTATATACTATAAACACTCTAAGCAAAATCCTAATTTTGAGAGTCATCTGTTACTCCCTAAAAGCAAGTACATGCAGATATTAAAATTCCTACTTCAAATCATGACCTCCCAGTTGGGACTGGCCGATGGCAGAATATACCAACTCTCCATTCTCTGTGATTCACTTTCAGTAGGAGACGAGTTTCACTATCTTTTCAGATGCAAAGCTCTACTCCAACAAAGAATTCTGTATATTCCCCAAAAAAACTACTTGTGGACAAATATTTATAAACTCTGTAGAACTGTATCTTCCAAAAGGATGAAAGATATAAGAAATTTGTCCTGATATATTGTATGTCTATTTAAGTTAATTTGAAAGAACCGCTGACATTGTCACTCGATCGTCATGTTGATATTTTTTTGTATTTTCATATATAATATATATAACATGTGGTGAGGTGAAATGGGGTTTACCGTCTCGTCCAAGATTATTGCACTAATATAGCGACATATAACATGTAATATAACACCTGTAAATGCTCATGTTCCAACGGTGGTGGTTTCTGTGAGTATAACTGAATCTGAATCTGGTTGATCAGCCTACAGCCGTCACAAGAACGGTTAGATGCCTCCGAGCTCTCTCAAAATGTCTGAACTAGTACATAACATCAAGTTGAATTCGCCCTAATGTCAATGTTGTACATATACCTACCTCCTGTGGACGTCCAAACGCTGCTGGAGTTGTACTTTAAATGCTGATTATTCCTGAATGAATAATGCAGTATAAAATTTGTTTGGACTGCATGCTGTTCTGATACTGATATTCTTGTAATCTTGGAGGCAGTGGATTCAAGTCTCCGATGTCCCACCACCGTGACATGGCTTGGCTATTGCTAAATGCGGCTTAAAACCATATCCACTCTTACAGCTGTGCCACTAGAAGTTTTCACTGTCGATGATGAGACTTACATCTCCGAGAGTCTAGGTGAGTTGGCCATTACAGTGGGGAGGCCTGACGACGACACAACAACCCTGACTGTGACTGTAGCTTACACAGATGGGACTGCTAGGGCGCCCGATGATTACTCGCAAACCGTCACGTCTATCAACTTCGGCCCAACAGACACAACACAAATACTAAAAATACCAATAACTGATGATCGGGTAAGTAGACGAACACCCTTTGATCTGTATAATTATTCAGTCATCTTCTCATGGTATTCTATCAAATAGTTTATATTCTTGCTTTCGTTAGTAATTCCATACTGATGTCTATAATATCTGATTTGATTGATGCTAAGATTCAAATATATACTCGACTTCCAGAATGTGGAGAGTACAGAATCCTTCAGTATTGCCCTATCTGCAGGAGGGTACGAAAACAAAGATGTTCAGGGGTTCATCACAGATGATGATTGTAAGTGTGTTAACATCTGTGAACGTCTAAAGATGAACCACGTATATTACCTATTAACTGCTTGAGTGTTTACATAACACACGTGTGGCGTCTCCTTGGGCAGATGACTTTGTTCGAAATGTGCCTCTGTTCACCCATCAGTGAATGGGTACCCGGTAGGATGAGATGACAATGTGTTTGTTAAACCACATTACTATACTTAATCTGCCATGCCATGATTCCGATTCCTTCATATTACTATACTTAACATGCCATGCCATGATTCCGATTCCTTCATATTACTATACTTAACATGCCATGCCATGATTCCGATTCCTTCATATTACTATACTTAATCTGCCATTCCATGACACATTAGCTATAGTAATATGAAAGAATCGGGTTTTCTTAACTTCTTTTAAGTAGTATATTACCCGTGGGGATCGTTATCGATAATGTTGGTTTCCCTTTCACAAAACAGTCAGTGAGATATGAATAACATCATCTTCACATTTGGGACAAAGCACAGAAAACATCGCACTGTTATGTTAATTTTGTGAGACATCAGCGTGAAAAATAAAACGTATTCCCCATGAGTCTTACCAAAGCTGATTTCAATGGTTTCACTGCCTCTGTGGGTAATAAATGAACGTGGCAGTGAACGTCTGTTATAAAGCTGTGGTCGTACATATGGAGGTTACATATAGAGGAAATGAGTTCACCAACTCAACAGTGTCTTCAAGCATTTGCAAAAACAGAGTCAGCCCCTCCACCTCCTTTTTGTAGGGGCCCAAGATTAAAGTGTATACCACCATTATGTTAGTCTAATATCATTAACGTCTGCTCAGCCTAAGCAAACATGTACTTCAAAGCTGAAAATGCCTTCCCTTGTGCAGTTCGGGAAAGCACATGTCTAGTGCCTCTTGCCACCTTACACAGAAACGTGAATGCACGTCCAGTTTAATTACATAGATGCCTGCTCCGTACGGCGTAACGCCGGGCATGTATTTCAAAAGCACAGTCTCGCTGGTACATGACCAGCAGCCTGTCATTGACAACACTTCCCGGGTTTGTATAAACATCGTTTCTCCATCAACTATGAACACATGCACTTGCGGTGTACTCGCTATTTCTTAACAACGAATCAAACCACGGCCTGCTTTTGGCAAGAGGGAAAACAACCACCACTCAGATCACATCATACAAACGGCAATATTTTTCCTTCAACGTTTCTGTTGCACTTTGGCCATCTACAACATTCCTTCACTATTAGGCAATGGTAGAGCTCATTCAACGTTCACGACCAGGTGACTTCCCTAAGTTTTGAACGGCCTCAATTTATTGGTTTACTTAACATAGACGTCACTTCGACACAGTAAATTACAGCACGGTTGTATGGGTTATCTCCCAAAACCCCTACATCCCATTTCCCCTACAATTAGTTAAAACAACACGCGGCATTTACCTGTCTGGCATTATGAACTCACCTAAAGGAGAGATTAAGGTCTGGAGTAGAGGTAGTAGAAATGAAAGGGGTAGAGCTTTAGGGGATTAGGGGACTTAAAGGAAAGTTATTAATAATAATGTATTATGAATTTTGAAAAATGAACATTTTATTATAATGAATTATGAATTTTGAATAATATCATAATCGTAATTAAATATTTATCTCAATCTATTCGTGTTTCTTGGGTTGTTCCATTGTATGAAATAGGTAACAGACTAGGGATTAGCAGTGCCTTGGACCGTGAACTTTGTTGTCTTAAGCTGTAGGGAAAATGGGATGTAGGGGTTTTGGGAGGTTACCGTTGTATGTATTCATGGGTGATGGGGGGAAGCAGTGTACACACAATCTGTGACATATTGACGATGACAATGTTTGATTGGTCTTGGCATTTGATATGACCTTGACATACAGCACGTGTTGATAAGTATATCATCTATTATATCAGAAACTGGTATGAATTGTAATAATGATAATAATAATACGTTGCCGTTTGTGTGTTTGCAGCATCCGTGCCGTTCAATTGTCGTCGCTTTGGCCAAGACTGTGTTAGAGGGGACTGTTCGCCAGACCAGGGATTGTGTTCCTGTCCTACTGGCCTCGGGGGCGATAATTGTGGATACGTTACGGGTTGGTGTAATTAACATCCTAATGCTTTGGGCCAGCTTCATCAGTGAGAACTGCTGCAGTTTCTTCTGAATTAACCCATAGTTGATCGTTGCTAGTGTGTATCACTCTTCCATTACCTCATATGCTCGTTTAATGGCCGCTTTGATGAGGCTTGACTCATGTTTACTGAGGCTTAAAATAATATGAACTCACTCCGAATTAAAGGCGCTATAAAAAGAGTTATAAGAAATGCAGGGCCCTACTTTGTATGTAGAACATCTGTCATGTTCTAGCTACCGGAACTTGATAATTGCATTGCAACCGCGGTCAATATTAGATGACGACTAGGCTTTCGGTAAGGGTTGTAATGTTGTAATTTGGGGAGTTGAGGTGCTGCGTTTCACACTGACTAACACCTTCTCATTGCAGCTGATGTTGACGGATCAGGGTGTAGTGACAAGAACTGTGGGTCCAATGGACGCTGTGTGTCTGTGACCGGAGCGGGATTTTGCATTTGCGACTTGGGTTATTACAATGGCGATGACGACACGTGTGAAATCAAACGCAGTAAGCACGCTGCTTAAAGCAGGGGTTTCTATCTGAGCAGGTTGATATATAAATTAGTCAGGCTAACATGACATGAGTGAAGAAGGAGATGCCTGCCGTGTTTTCTGTATAATGATTATTGTTAACACCGTCTGCACATTTGAAACACGTGTTGTTGACATCATTGACAACTGCAAGTAAAAACGTTATTTGTAGCACACGTGTACACGTTCATGATGACGTCGCCCCTACGTGCAGCAAAGTCATCTTGCGAGGGACTTTATGAAACAAAGTGTTCAAGTAAAACAAATATTTTACTTTTTTATAGCAACCGTGACGTCATGTGACAACAACAAGATGACTGTGTGTTTCAACCCAATCCACACTGACAGCCCTCTCATCACTGTCTCCGGCTACATCTCGACAGAATGCACGGCTAAGCTTGTGTCGGACATCACTGACACCGAAGACAGGATCCCCTCCGACATACGTGGCCAGTGCATCACTGTCGGCTTCAGCGGAGACTGTGGGACGTACACCATCGAAGCTAAAGGAGATGCAGAGGCATGTTTCTCTTTCTGCATTCCGTTATATTACCGAGGATTAGAAACGACAGGGTAGTTGGTGATTGCTATTCATTGGTATATCTGTCGCAGTAGTAAATCGTTAATCGGGCGGTTGGGTAGCCAAGAGGTTAAACCGCTCGCCACTCACTCACTCACAAACTCACTATAACGTTAAACATAATCCACACAAAAGCGAGATTAAAGAACCTTAAGTTTCCGTGGGGACACGAGTTGTTCGTGAGGCAAGTGAGCATGTCGTGATCTAAAAGTCGACATAAACAAGAGCTCTACCAGTCACACATTTTTCCTTTTGTTCGTGAAGTTTACACGACATGCAGCTGTTCCATTGAAAAAGCGGTCGTCACATTACCATGAAACTGAAGTTCACAAAAATATGAGCAACACTTTTAGTCGTTCGTACGTTTTTTACGAGACTTTATTTTTGAAATTGTCTGGATATGCCCACTCAGCTTGTGACAGTGGTGTAACGATGAGTCATCGCTGCACCGGATAAGCACACTGTCCCGGATAAGCACACTGTCCCGGGTAAGCACACTGTCCCGGGTAAGCACACTGCACAGCCTTCCTGGAGTATTGCTAAAAGCGGCATAAAACCATGACAGTTCATTCATTCGAAAAGTTTTCACTCTACGATAGTCACTTAAAACAGACAATAATTGTCCGTGGAAATCTTACGCCTTGTTTTTCTTTCTTCCAGTGCTACACGATGAGCTACTACATCCAATATAACCCCTCGATGAGGACAGCGAGTGATGAGATTGTCTATGCGTCCTGTTGCGTGAATGCGGTACGCGAGACCATCTCAACTCATGCCATTGAGGCAAACCCTGCCACGTGAGTGTACAGTTCTTTGAGTACGTATAACACAGAACATTAATAGCAGTTTCGATACGATACATTGCATGATACCTCCTTACCATGATTTCTACCCTGGACTAATTAGCCAATATAACCTCGTGTTTAGACCGTATACCACGACGTCAAGAATTGCTGTTCCGTTAAATTAAACTGCGAATGAGGCACAGGAGAGACGGAGATAGTCGCGCCTTCCAAAACAACCCTATCGTTGCTGATGAGTACTTATAATAGAATGAAGTCTCTTAGTAATCCCGTTGCTTTGTTTACAAGTACAGTACCTGTGATGTCCCTCCTAGAGAGCCACGCTGATGTTGTTTTTGTATGTCCAGGAAATTCCTCAATACACAGACAGAGACAACTGATTTCTTTGGAGTTCGACTTAACCTTTTGAAATCGAACGGCCTTCCTCTTGAAGAGCCGGTCCCCATGAACCAGGTGTATAGCCTGTGTGTGGCTGTAACAGACGAAGGTACGTTAATCTAAAGGTCAACATATTTTCACTGGTAAATTATTCTTGATTAGAATTGGTTCCCAGTAACCTATGCTTGTTGTAAGAGACGAAATATGATGGAACGGATAGTCAGACTCGGTGGGTCCGGGGAACACTTGAAAGGTCTACACCGCATTCTACTTCTCACTTCCGAAATTACGTTTTTATGGTGGAAACTTGAAAGCTCAACGCCACTTCCAACACTTTACTTCCGAACACCGAATGGAAAGATTGAAACCTCGAAAGGTCAACATCCTGTCTAACTTCCCACTTCCTTTAACATGTTTTAGGAATAAGAAACCCTGAAAGCCCTACTTTTCTGCCAATTTTCAGCAACATATTTCATAGTTTGGAAAGCGAAAATTGCGAAGGGTTTGTTTCGCTCGTTACCGTTGGTTCTTTTTAAATGAGAAAGGGAGGGAGGAGACTGGGAAAAGGGGGGTATGAATGGGGTACATGATAACAACATGGTTATAACATCCTGTGTATAAAATAATAACATTTCATAATTTAAAACGATGATATCACTCATCCATCTCCTTACGCTGGCAAATAAGTCAGTATATAAAATATTTCGTAATTTGAATAGCAACGCTCAATACAGGAATTAATTACGATGACACAAATCACATTTTATAATTGTACGCGAGAATATAGCCAAGTTATCCAGATTTCAGCTAACAGTGGTTAGCATACGTTGACTTTAGTCATTAATAAACGTCGTGAAACTGTCAACTCATTTTAAACCAACTAGGTCTTGATAAAATGTTTATGTTATCTCTTCATAAATACGATGTCATAAAACTAGACCAGGTAAAATTTTAAACATTCGATTCACTTGACGATATCTTAGAAAAAAAATAAATCGTAATATAGTGAAATTCACAGGTTTTGGGTTACTGTAAAATATGAGTGTTTGATAGTTGATGCTTTTTTAAAATGCATTGAAAACAATCCATAACCCCTTACAACCGTGTACAGTTTCACATAAACTGACAGCCAAAAGAAACTTTTCCACTTAAAAATTAACTTACAAAAATTTTAAAACACAAGTTCAAACTACATGAATGTTGATTTTGTTGAGATTTTGATCTTTTCAAAACAATTTACTTCATGCGTCCGTCGTTTGTTTTTTTAAACGAGAGTAAAGTTTCTTTTAGACATCAGTATATTTATGATGAATGACAGACGAGCAGATGCAGATCGCGCATTATGTTCAAATTTTAGTAATTATTGATACTGTAATACCTAAAGCTCGTAACTATTGAGGGGTCACGGGTGGACCAGTCGTCTAAGGCGCCGGGATTCGCTGTGCTGAGTTGCGTCCCCTGGGCACGCAAAAGAAACGCAAGTCGAGTATGCAGTATACATGTTATTTATTTTCAACAGTAAAGACAAGAAATACTAAAAGGGCAAGATTGACAAAAAAATTGACTGAAGACAGTTTAATGGATTAAAAGGCAGATGACATAATTGTTTTTTTTCAATTGTTAAGGGCTTACACAGTTTCGAGTCAATACCCAAAATGTCAGTCAATACCTCGTGTGACCATCATTGGCATTGATCACTGCCAAACATCTCCTGTACATTGAGTGGATCAGACGATTTGTTAAGGCCCTAGGGATCCTCCTGCACACATCCAGAGCAGCTGTACGTAGATTATAGTTGTGGGGACTGGGCGTACATTGTACAGACGCCTTTGAACCTCATCCCACAAGTGTTTGATGGGGTTCAGATCAGGGCTGAGGGCTGGCCACGGTAGAACACGGATTTTGCGTTGTTGCAGAAAGGCCATGGTAGCTCTGACAACATGGGGACGAGCGTTGTGTTGTTGATGTCGTGCAAAAAAATGGAACAACGTGGGGTCTGATCACTTGGTGGATATACCGCTGAGCAGTGACGCCGTGTCCCCGACCCTGACCAACATTCCGAAAGCACATGGGTCCAAGTCTCGCATTAAGTCCAATCCCTGTCCATATCATGACGCTAGGTCCACCCCATGGATCCCTTTCCACAACGTTTCTGTCAGCGAAACGATCACCTCGACGCCGCCAATTTCTGACTCTTCCGTCTGCATGGGAGACACAAAAGCGACTTTCATCAGAGAAGATGACATGCCTCCACTCACGATGACGCCAATTGTGATGACCCTGTGCCCACTGAAGTCGTGCTTGTCAATGCCGTGGTTGGAGAACAGGACGACGTGCTGGTCGGCGACATCTGAGGTTGTTGGAACGGAGACGTGTGTTGATTATGTGTTCCTATGGTCTGTCGAGCACTTTCACTTGCAGTTAGGAAAGGATGTCGCTGGTGTTGACGGGCAATCTACCGAACTTGTCGAGGTGTGGTGACCCTAGGACGACAGCTCCGAGGAAGTCATCTGTGGTCTGTGTAGCATTTCATCGATGTAGGAGACGGTAAATTGTGATTATGTTAACGTTGAAATGACGGGCAACATCTTGGACAGACTCTCCAGCTTCCAAACGTCCGATAGCCTGGTTTCTCTGAATTTGAGTTTGGCGTGGCATTGTTGACCGGGGAGTGGTAGGTCCAAGAATCGGCCACAGTTTTATACCCACTACAGTACGTGCATTTTCTATTTCGTGAGAAATGGGTGCATGATACCCACATAATCATTGAAATGGTGCGTTTTGGCGATGCGTTTTTTATGTTGCGTTTTTACTCGGGGCTTCCAAAATGCAACCAAAAATATTGATAACACAATCAGGCTTCACTACATGCTAAAACTCGTATCAATTTATGGTTCCGTGTTTGTTACCTATTTTCTTAAAACCACTTGCGTTTCTTTTGCGTGTGAGCATACATGTAGATTTGTCAGCACCATACCCGTGCTCGTGGTAAACGTCTGAGACCTGCATCACTTCGGGCTTTCCTCCCACATTTAGCTGACACCTCGTGATAAAACTGGAATACTGTTAAAAGTGGCGTTAATTATAAACTATTGTCAAATCATTGCACTGGCGAGAAAATGGCACTCACCTGCCTACTCATTCATATAGACAAGACCTAGTCTGTTATTGCTCGTCATGTGTGAATTATGTGTAGATTTTAACTGATTAATGTAATATTGACTATTAATTTAGTTAGAACATAATCAACACATATTTGCAGACTGAACATGAAAACAATATTGGGGCCGGGTAAACTCAAAGCATAATAGTTGTGATTTTATGTGATTACTCACATGCCGAACTGACAAATACAAACGGAGAGACTGTTTTATCCAGTATTTATAAAGGTCATGCATCCTCCCATTAATGTACAGCAACAAGATTGAAGATTAAATATTTGACATAATGAGATATAAAATATACAATTCTGGGTTCATTGACACATTTTAGGATGTAGATTTGCTGTAAAATATTCATTTCTCTTATATACATAAGGCGTAATAGATTTATCTCTAACACTGCAAGTGCATCTATATGTCAAAACATATGAACTTACGACATCTCGAGTGTCGTAAACGAGAATGTACAGTGTATGTCGTAAAATCTGTTCTTTCTTATTTTTGATAGAAGGAAGTTCATTAATGAAACAATGGACACCAAAATTTCAGCTTTCCGAAGTATGAAATAGGAATTAAAAGTAAGCAGAAAATTCAAGCATATAAGGTTTCTATTTCCGGGGCAGATTTTTAAGGAGGTGTGACGTGAGAGTCGAGCTTTCGACCTTTTCATCTTTCTAAAATGGTATTCGGAAGTAAGAAGTATGAAGAAGAATTGTGATTTCAGGTTTCCAACTTTAAAGATAATTTCGGAAGTGAAAAGAAAGAAGCGGTGAAGAGCTTTCAATCATTCCGTTTTTCAAAATTAAATTTTTGAAAGAAGATTTGTCAAGTGTTACCCGGACCTCGACTTGCTTGATTGCATGTCATCGTACCCTGACGTCATAGACTGATCGCTGGTTTGTGTGATTCAGACTGAATTATTCATAGTTCGCCTTCATATAGCTGGGATAGTACCCCATGCGGACAACAAAGCAAACTCTGAGATTGGATTGAGCATGTTCTGTATGTTTTTGGTCTACTTTCAGCATACGATTTTGTGGGTCTTTTTCTCATCACCGCCCGTAACGAAGATTCCTCGAGATCCGTCCAGACCTATTCTGATGGGTATGGGTGTATAACGCATATTATATAGGCAGCTTGTTTTCTGCTTGATATGTAAGGTTATATGACACGAGAGAGAGAGAGAGAGAGAGAGAAGGGGGGGAAGGGGGGGGGGGGGGGGGGGGAGTGAGACAGACAGACAGAAAGAGAGAGATCTTCGTGATGTAACTCTGAAGATTGCAATGAAAATATATATTCCATAACACGTGGTTAACATTATAAAAATAAAAAGGCTTAATTTATTTACAATTCCACACTGCTTATCAAATTCATATAGGTATACGGTGTCAGATATTCACTCAAAGATATGTATCAAAAGATTATCCAGTTTGTACAGATATGAGGCGAATTGACGTTGGATAGTTTCCCAGATGTATCAGTCGATATTGTGATTTAATTCTCTTTCAGCCTCAAATAAAGGTGATAACATATCTGTTTCTTCTTGCATTTTCGAAATCAACATATTTTTTAACGTCACCAACTCAACGAGAAAAGATCAAATGTATTCTCTCTGATATAAGCAACTGTTAAAGTCGAAAACATGCTTATTACAGAGCTTACATTCTTTCGATAGAGGTGAGGTGAGGTGAGGTGAGGTGAAACTGGGTTTAATGTCGCGTCCAAGATTATTGAACTTATATAGCGACGTGCATGCACGCGTGTGTCAGTGGCTGCTTGTACTAGTCTGGACTGATGCCGATTTATAGTGCTAGCACATTGAGATACCATGCCGCAGTTTAACATGAATACCCGACTCAGACACAGTATACTGACTCCGAGCCGACCAGTCCTTGTTTTAGCCCCTTAATGCCGAGCGCCAGACAAGCACCATCTTTTAACGTCTTTTGGTATGACGCGGCCGGGGATCGAACCCCGGACCTTCCGCTCTCCGGGCGGATGCTCTAACACTAGACCCTTTCGACAGAGACTTTTACACAGAGTTGTAAAGCAGGTCCATATTTTGGGTACAGAAAAGCTTATTGCCAAAGTACATGGCATTTTCAATTCGTATGAATTCTCTTATAACGGAACATGCTTGCTTTATGTAATACATTTGTGAGTCATATTGTTCTTTGTATTTGCACATCAGTCGTATCTGTTGCATTATGTTATACACAGGTCACGTAGGTTCTACGAAGTATATGTCTATCCACAGTTATAGTACATGTTTGGGTTGCTTTTCAGTTGCAATGATGTCGGGGCCGACTCCATCATACATCGGATGCCGTACAGAGTTAACGCCAAGAAAATCTGCATGGAATACAAACCAGGGTTTTTCACTCCAGGGCCCCCTGAAATTATTTTTGACATCGAATATAACCTGTGTACAACTGCTAGTCAGTCATCCTGCAACCTGGTACGATATAGGAAGGAAACCCACAGTCCCCGCCCTTTAAAGCGATTCTGTGAAACTGAATTTGACTGCACCATAAATATGTCAAACAATTTTGGGGTCCGTTTGTGAACAAAGTTGAAATAAATACCAATGCGTCTGTTGATGTTAATGCAGATGTAAGCCTTGATGATTGCTTGTAATGTACAATTAGGCAATATATTCTACAGAATTAGATAGACGAGGGTAACTAGTTTCATTTCTGCCATTTTTCGGGGGCATGGGTAGCCAAGTCGTCTAAGGCACTGCAATTCGTTATGCAGAGTTGCGTCCCTTGGGCACGCTTGAAACCTATGATCATGGGTTCGAATCCCGGTTCGCCCTGTAAGTGTTTCTAGGTTTGTCAGTGCCATACTCATTCTCATGTGTTTGACAAAAGTAGTAAACGTCCGAGAACTGCATCACGTTCCCCCCACATTGCATTGCTGACACGCTGTGCTGTAACTAGATTGCTGTTCAATGCGGCGTTAATACTAAGTTACCCACTATGACATTTTTCCACTTGGATTTATCAAGGAGTTGGTAACACCTGTATGTTTGTAAATATGTTCAAAGAAAGAATTGTAAATACCTTTTATCAAACATGGATGTCTAATTTAAATGCAAGTAGCAGATATGATGTGTATAGATCATTCAAATCCTTACTGGATCCTGAAAAATATTTAAGTGTTCTTTGTAATTTAAATCTTCGTTCAACATTCACGCGATTTCGTATGGGGCTGAGTGATATTAGAGTAAATACCGTAAGAAGACAAAATACGTTAAAATCTATGCGTTTGTGTCCATTATGTGATATGGGTGTTGAGGACGAATTTCATGTACTTTTTATCTGTGAGTTTTACCAAGATATCCGAAAACGTTTTGTACCCGCTAAATACCTTAAACAGCAATGTACCACATCCCTTGTATCACTTATGTCTAATCAATCTTCTGGTGTAATCTACAGTTTAGCTCAATTTCTCCATCAAGCACTCAATATTCGGCAAGAACTTGTAAATACGAATGTCTCCTAGAACGCACATATATGTTGAAAGTATGTATACATTGTGTCTGTGTTTGTATATAGGCCGGTTGCCTTTCATACAATAAACTTCTTGTCTTGTCTTGTCTCTAGTCTTGACATTTTTCAGGAAACCGAATGTAACGATGCAGGACGGAAGCGCCGCCAGGCCATCGAGGAACCAAACAAGAATAACGCCGTTGCTAGAGTTAGGTTTGAAGGTGGACAAACTGCATCCGAATCTCAAGGTAGCTCGAATCACTTGACTGTTACCTGCTACAATGAAATTGACGTTTTTTATCACTATGCAATTAGAACGTGACACCTGTTCAGCTGAAAAATACACAGAAGAATATATTCCTTTTTAAAAATACATTAATCGCGGTGAGTAAAAGGCTGCAATCAAGAAACACGAAACTACATCTAGACCGTAGTTTTATTACCTTCATTAACTGTAGATGTAAGTTCCATAGCTCTATATATACACACAGTCAAAGGATGGCTAATTAACTCACTCACTGTATCTACACGGATCCATAATATTTTTCCAGGCGCTGAAGCAGTAGCCCCGTCTGTGGCGGAGTGCAACACGACTCCCACCATGTTCGTCGCCATCATCGCCACATCCGTCATTGTTGTGCTGCTGCTTCTGGTGACAATCGTTCTCAGCTGCCTTCTCATGAAACGTAGGCGTCGTAAGGAGTTTGACGGGGATGGCTTCAAGACGGAGAAGAGCTCTCACAAACCACAATACTAATGCCGTCCGTTGCATCTATTGCGAAAATCCCGTATCCTCATGAGTACATAGCTACTACAACTCAATCGTCCCTAATACAAATATGAATAAAATTTGCAGATCCATTTTACGTGTTTCAGTCGTAATTTGTTATGGTAGAAAGCAAATTCGTTTTCGTATTACATACATTGTATGTCCACAATCAGAAAGGTCACATGGTATGGCCTTGACCATGGCCTTTTTAAACAATAGAAGTAAATATAGATATAACAGAACACAGCTGGGCTATTCTTCACATACGACATAATACATGTTTTCCAATTGCAGTGGCATTGGACCCAAATAAAGACATGATTACCTATAATAATTGATTTCAGATGCGTTTGCTAGTTCTACGTCTTGACAGAGGTCCCCGATTCCTAGCTGATATTCTTATGCTTGGTTGATTGTCTTCTGGTACCTGTACGGAAACGTCACGTTCGAGAGAAAAATGTAATACTATGGAAGTGTCACATTAAGATATTAAATTTATTTCACCAAACTCTACAATACATAAATATAATAGTTCTCCGTATAGTTGGTTAGAACTGTATTTTGTCATATTCTGTCATTCCAGCGCGTATTGTGGATTGAATTAATTTTGTGAAGAAATATTCAATATATAATTTTGTAATACATTTTCTAATTTAAAAGCTTAAGCTGTCTTTTTGTACTTCTCGGCCGTAAGTCATTATATATTTTTCTTTTGTCGACCAAGACTTATCAATACATTCTAACTATATCGATTGTTTCGGGTAGATAGTATTTTTTAACTCATTGTATTTCCGCCCGTTCGGCACGAGCACTCGATCACATGCGTTCAACAGAAAGAGTCGGAGCGAGCGAATTAGAGAAATTGTCAAAAGTATGGGAGGTTTACTCTTCAGGTAATAAGTTGTACTTTATATTGTTTATTAATACTTAGAGTAGCTTTTCGTGTATTTTTTCATGTAAGTTTATATTTATACATATTTGAAGGAAAAGAGTAGGGTTTTGACAACTGTTGACTCTTGGAACAGTCCTTTTTATTCTAGTGTAGGGATGTGTTCTTAAATGTACATTTATTAGCGCCAAAGTTATTTTATTTTCAATTTCTTTCCAATATTTATCGTTTTCGCTTTATTTAGGCGTTTGTTAGGATTTCTTTTTGAGTACATTTACTTGAGCGCACAACCTATTTCCCCTCGAGTAAAATAGACTAGTCCAAATCTCGGAATTAGGCCGGTGTCACAAAATATATTCATCCCCAGAATAAAATCTCCCTTCGGCGAATTTATACCGGTACAGTTCCGCCCCTCTCGAAATAAACTCTCCCCCATCCTACGAAATAAAATCTCCCCCTAGGACATCACACCCCTACACGCTAAGGTCGGTGAGAAACATTCTCATCAAAGAAAACTCACGGACTCAAAGGACTCACGGAATATTTTCTCCCCCGAACTATCAATATAGACTTGTCATGCAGTTCAAAATTGTAATTGTCTAAAAATGCTTTTTCTATGTGGTGTCTTTGTTGTATATTTTCATGGAGAATATCAGCTTCTGAACAACTTTTACTTGCGTGCATGGCTGTTGGCATGAATATATTTAAGTGAGTCAGTTTCGGATTCAGTGGACGTCTTGTTTTTGTAAGCAAAAGCAGTATTTGGGCATATCACTGGATCCCAAACTTAAAACGGTACTACCTAGAGGTATTAAAATTTAAATGCCAATTAAGGGAATGCAAATGGTACAAAAGTGTTCTCCTATTTGTAGATTCTCAAGGGTTAGCTACCAATCAAACCCTAGAATATTCTCGCTCTATAAAGGACTATGTCAATTATTTTGCAAGTTGAAAGGACCCCTGATACTTTATGAATACTTTATGACAGTTTATGGAGTCAAAATCATTGCTGATTAGTCAAACCGCTAGGCAAGGTTTTTTTCAAAGGAAAATAGGCCTTATTCTGTCAAATTACCGTTGGCTCGGGTAGAACCGCTGGGCTAACCACGCGGTTCAAGATAATCGAGCACTGTTCGACTTTGTTTTAGCCGAGCGGTCCTAATAGTGCCAATGGAAATACTACATCATAAATGAACTGTTTCGATTTGCGCGGTTTTACCAACCGCTAAACGTGCCCCAAAACGCGTGGCAAACCGCGCACATGGAAACTCAGCCTAAAGGGCAGCGGCTTTTACATAAGCCAGTAAAGCTTGTTTGTCAATCCTCATTCATATATTTATGTATAAAAATCTGTTGAAACAAAATACATTGCAAAGCCTGGTTTATTTGCATTAAAATCAAAACAAAGGAATCTGTAATTAAAATGTGTAAGGTGTAAAAAGCTTTTACATAAAAGAGAAAAATACATGGGGGAGAGTAAATACATAATTCTATATAATTTTTTTGAATGGAGCACATTTGAAAAAAAAGATAATCCAAGCATATTCGATATTACCATGTTTAAAGAATTTATATCAGTCATATATTTCTAATTTAGATCACCCGTATGTAACCCAGGTAAAGCATGCATATCGGGGAACATTGTAATGTTGGTACAGTTTATCGTGTCTTCGTGCTTTAGGCATTACACATTGGCTTTTCATATTCCTCAAGGTTTTAATGTTTATTTGTTTATATATATATATATTTTTTTTTTCTCTCCTTTATTTTTTCTGGGTTATATATTTATATAAAGATACATTTAGTTACTGGTACGTGTAGGGGTGTTTAACAGAAACCTGGTTGCACCATGGTATTCTAGCCACTGATATTACACTGATACCACTTTCAAATCGTAGCCTGTATTGAGGAATATATTTTAGATCTTAAATCAGAGTATAACGGACAGCCTGAGCTGGAGGCGCGCGTGGATATGTTGAGAGTTTTTACATGTACGTAGTTAGGGTGAAAACCGAATGTTTGCGAGGATTAATAAGATTTCTGAATTCAGTTAAACAGTAACCGTACATGTATTTCTTACATTAAGTCATTTCATTCAAATTTGTTTGGTATGATATATGTCTTATAATTATTTTAGAATGGAAGGTACAGTTACCAAATAAAATATGCTGAAATATCAATTCATTATGACCATATTTCATAATATATTTTTTAAAGTAACCGTTAATTCTTTTGCTATTTTGGTATTTTATATAATATCTAAAGATATTTCCGAGTACTTTGCAATTATTTTCGCTAGAGAAGTGAACTTTCAATTGAGTTTTTTTTCGTAAGCAACAAGTATATGAAAGCTTCTAGAGATTTTGCGTGCACTTTATTTTTGAGTAAGAGTGCAAAAGAGATTATATATTACGGTTTTCCTGATATTTTGTTACACTATTTTATATACTTATTTGATAATTATTTCATAAATAATATAAGAGAGATAATTAGTAACACCGAGTCATTGTTCAATTGTGAGTAATTAATTTAATGCCAAGAGACTTTCACTTAGAGATGTATTTAAAATATTTAGTGATTGTATGAATAATTGGTGTTAGAACAAAGAGATTTATTATTTTTGTTAATTGTTTTCAGAACTCCGTCATCAGAGAAAATAAATAGGTGTTCGGAAGCCCTCCCGTTTTCCCATTCTTTGTCCAAACCACATTTATTTAGACGAAGTCCCCTTTATTGGTCACAACACAAGACTGGAATGTGAAACTTCAGGATTGTTTAGACGCAAGTGCGTGTGATGCTGTCATAGTCAGGACTTCTGGAAAATGGTGTTGAACGTCCAAGATTTATGCACTTATATATATAGCGACGTGGATGCACGTGGTGTGTGTGTTTATGTTTGTGTGTGTTTATGTGTGTGTGTGTGGCTGCTTGTACTAGTTTGTACCGATGCCAATTCATAGTGCTAGCCCACTGAGATACCATGCCGCAGTTTAACATGACTACCACACTCAGACACAGTGTGCTGACTCCGAGCCGACCAGACGTTGTTTTAGCCTATTAATGCCGAGCGCCAGATAGGGTAACAACAAGAACAATATTTTTAACTTCTTTTGGTATGACCCGGCCGGGGATCGACCACTAGGCCACGGAGAGGATCTGGAACGCTACAGGAGACAAGGCAACTCTTGAGAAGAAAGGGGCACTAGAGAAGAAAGGGGAACACTAGAGAAGTAAGTGGGACAGTAGAAAAGACAAGGGAACACTAGAAAAGACAAGGCAACTCTCGAGGAGAAAGGAGCACAAGAGAAGTCAAGGGAACGATATGAAGAAAAAGGGAACGCTACAGAAGAAAGGGGAACACTAGAGAAGGCAAGAGCACACTCGAGCACACTAGAAAAGACAAGGAAACACTAGAGAAGACAAAGGAACACTAAACAGACAGCTGAATACTAGAGAAGACAAGGAATCACTAGAGAAGAAAGGGGAATACCTAAGAAGACAAGGCAACACTAGAGAGAACAAGGGAACACTAGAGAAGAAAGGGGAACACTAGAGAAGACAAGAGCACACTCGAGCACACTAGAAAAGACAAGGAAACACTAGAGAAGACAAGAGCACACTCGAGCACACTAGAAAAGACAAGGAAACACTAGAGAAGACAAAGGAACACTAAACAGACAGCTGAATACTAGAAAAGACAAGGAAACACTAGAGAAGACAAAGGAACACTAAACAGACAGCTGAATACTAGAAAAGACAAGGAAACACTAGAGAAGACAAAGGAACACTAAACAGACAGCTGAATACTAGAAAAGACAAGGAAACACTAGAGAAGACAAAGGAACACTAAACAGACAGCTGAATACTAGAAAAGACAAGGAAACACTAGAGAAGACAAAGGAACACTAAACAGACAGCTGAATACTAGAGAAGACAAGGAATCACTAGAGAAGAAAGGGGAATACCAAAGAAGACAAGGCAACACTAGAGAGAACAAGGGAACACTAGGGAAGAAAGGGGATCACAGGAGGAGTCGGGGCAGCACCTGAGAAGAAAGGGAACACTGGAGAAGAAAGGGGAAAAAACAGAGAAGACAAAGCAACACTAGAGAGAACAAGGGAACACTAGGGAAAAAAGGGGAACACAGGAGAAGTCGGGGGTGCAGTGGAGGTGAAAGGGAACACTAGACATGAAAAGGGAACACTAGAGATGAAAGAGAACACTAGAGAAGGATGGGGAATGCCAGAGAAGACAAGGCAACACTAGAGAAGACAAGGGGGCACTAGATAAGACAGGGAAACACTAGAGGAGAAAAGGGCACTAGAGAAGACAAGGGAAACTAGAGACGTAAGGGGAACACTAGAGAAGAAAGGGGACACCAGAGAAGAAGGGGAAAATAGAGAAGACACGGCAACACTAGCGAAGAAAGGGGACACTAGAGAAGACTAGGGAACACCAGAGAAGACACGATAACACTAGAGAAGAAAGGGGACAATAGAGAAGACAAGGGAACATCAGAGAAGACTAGGGAAAATAGAGAAGACACGGCAACACTAGAGAAAAAAGGGGACACTAGAGAAGATACGGCAACACTAGAAAAGAAAGGGGACACTAGAGAAGACTAGGGAACACCAGAGAAGAAAGGGGACACTAGAGAAGACTAGGGAACACCAGAGAAGACTAGGGAACACCAGAGAAGACTAGGGAACACCAGAGAAGAAAGGGGACAGTAGAGAAGACTAGGGAACACCAGAGAAGACTAGGGAACACCAGAGACGAAAGGGGACAGTAGAGAACAGTAATGAGGTATCGAACATTTGTTTTATCTCGGCTTCCTCTGGTACCAGCAGATAACAGAGCTGTGAAACGGTCCTTAATTTGCAGTATGTGAAAGCCAATGAGTGACAAGAGTATATCTCAATACTAACACCCTTCATTGTGCACGAAATGAGGCAGGCTCCTGTACCGGGTTCATAAAACGGTGCATTCAAACAATTGGATTAATATTAAAAACTACATCATGTGCTTTGTGTATACCACCCATCCTACATCCCATCCCCAGTTATAGATCTAACATTACTGCTGATAACTTCAAACTTATCAATACCTAAGAGCCCAAGAGTTTTGCGCACGTGTTATGACCATTTTACCAGTTTATCATGATTCTGATTGGCCAGTCCGGGGTTTCAAATATCCACCTCTGATTAAAACAGTTGATTTGACGGACGTATCACCGGGGAAATCTATATTTATAGAAAAGTTTCCTTTCTCAATAATTGTAAGTTAGGCATTTTGACTAATGTACTATGAACGGTTACAAAATGCAAAGTTGTGGTTACTGCAATTTTCAAACATTGAGCGACAATCCTTTATGGGGAGAAAAGACAATAGAAATCGATACTGTAATTCAAGTTTTAGGGTCATTGGAGCTTGATATTTAGAGCTGCATGTATTGTCTCTGATGTCATTTCATTTGCATCAAAATGAGAGATGTGACGTCATAATAGTTACGTGCAGTGTAACACAAATCTTGCAAGGCTTGATTTTCAGAGTTGCGCACATCATGGTGACTTACGAAGTCACTGCGGTGCACACTTTAAATGCAGTTTAATAAAGTTGGACAATGTAGAAAAGGTGATGAACACATTCAGCACCACATTTTGTCTGACGTCTGACGTTGGTTAATTAGGATCAATAACACAAAAGTGGTCCCGTTTCATTTTGTCTGACGTCTTACAGCAGTGGTTGGTTAATTAGGATCCATAACACAAAAGTGGCCCCGTTTCATTTTGTCTGACGTCTTACAGCAGTGGTTGGTTAATTAGGATCCATAACACAAAAGTGGTCCCGTTTCATTTTGTCTTAGTGGCATGGACTTCGCATCCTAGCTCCCAATTTCCAAAACACGGTATCTGTACACTGAATGAACTCACACAAAAACAAAACAAACACAAATCTTTTGCAATGGCATTTACAATTTATTGCCCAGACTATTACCGGAGACCTAGATGTAAAGAAAATGTAAATACTTATTTACAGATACATAAACGTTGATAATATATCCTCAGATCAGTTTCGAAATGTGAATCTTGTTCGTGTGATTGTATGTGTTACACGTTTGAAAGCATGGCTATTTATAGTTCTGATACAGCTTAGTTTCATTAGTACCATCGTCAAGGGAAAAACTCCAATTTTTCATAACACCAATTGATCATTCTGTAAAATGTTGTGATGTAAAAATGAGAGGTCTTTCTGGTGCGAGATCTCATTGTCGTCCCGAGGCTGTGTTTGCTGCTCGTGTTGTCCTCCTGTTCCGTATGTACATGGAGAAGACGACCAGGAGTAACAGAAGGGCAGCCACGCACACCACGATTATGGCGGGGAACATCACGGACGACTCTCGAGTACACTCGCAAACCATGCTTCCTGTTGTTAATAATAATAATAATAATAATAATCATCATCATCATCAAGAAGGAGAAGAAGAAGAAGAAGTTCTAGGTGGGTTCGACTAGGCAGCGTTTCCTGGGAGAAGTCCTATTCGCTATCTGGGCAGCGTGTAGAGGGGGCAAGGTCTCTGGGCTGATGATGAGCCTAACCAGCCTGACTGTGCCAGGATCACCTAAACCCTCTCTGCTGCTGCTACTATTATTACTACTACTACCCACCACCACTACTACTACTACTACTACTACAAGTACTACTGAGTTATATGAATGACAAATGGTATTCGTTTTTTATCACATCGGGGCATCCCTTTCAACAGCGGCGGGGACAATTTATATTTCGTGTCAAAATGAAAATTCAGGGCGGGCGTAGAAGGGCAACAAAACAAAAGGACGGCCAACCTTAGAAGAAGCTGGATTGTACCTGTTGCCTCATCAGTGGATCCGTTGAGGAAGTATACAGTAGCTGATGTCGTCTCTTCAAAGGTTCCGTTAAGTGCTTGACGTCGTCTTCTGTTCGCCGCGCCACAAGGGATCTTGAACAGTATATAAGTTGCAATGTCAAATGTTAATACCATAAACTGTACATCAACGTTAAGTTTAAAATTGATGAATATACTTTATCAATTATCATTTCAAAACAGCATTCATCAACGTCCAGGTAGAATGATAGCCACGTCTCCCTGGGCCATGATAAGTTTGTATTCCTTTCCATTGTCTCTTCCCACCCGTTTCACCATCAAGATAAGTTGACATTCCTGTCCATTGTCTCTTCCAACCCGTTTCATCATCACGATAAGTTGACATTCCTGTCCATTATCTCTTCCCACCCGTTTCCTCGTTCAAGATAAGTTAACATTCCTGTCCAATGTCGCTTCCCACCGTTTCCTCATCAGGATAAGTTGACATTCCTGTCCATTGTCGCTTCCCACCCGTTTCCTCATCAGGATAAGTTGACATTCCTGTCCATTGTCTCTTCCCACCCGTTTCCTCATCAGGATAATTTGACATTCCTGTCCATTGTCTCTTCCCACCCGTTTCCTCATCAAGATAAGTAGGCATTCCTGTCCATTGTCGCTTCCCACCTGTTTCCTCGTTCAAGATAAGTTGACATTTCTGTCCATTGTCTATTTCCACCCGTTTCCTCATCAAGATAAGTTGACATTCCTGTCCATTGTCGCTTCCCATCTGTTTCCTCATCAAGATGAGTTGACATTCCTGTCCATTGTCGCTTCCCACCGTTTCCTCATCAGGATAAGTTGACATTCCTGTCCATTGTCGCTTCCCACCCGTTTCCTCATCAGGATAAGTTGACATTCCTGTCCATTGTCGCTTCCCACCCGTTTCCTCATCAGGATAATTTGACATTCCTGTCCATTGTCTCTTCCCACCCGTTTCCTCATCAAGATAAGTAGGCATTCCTGTCCATTGTCGCTTCCCACCTGTTTCCTCGTTCAAGATAAGTTGACATTCCTGTCCATTGTCTCTTCCCACCCGTTTCCTCATCAGGATAATTTGACATTCCTGTCCATTGTTTCTTCCCACCCGTTTCCTCATCAAGATAAGTAGGCATCCCTGTCCATTGTCGCTTCCCACCTGTTTCCTCGTTCAAGATAAGTTGACATTTCTGTCCATTGTCTATTTCCACCCGTTTCCTCATCAAGATAAGTTGACATTCCTGTCCATTGTCGCTTTCCATCTGTTTCCTCATCAAGATGAGTTGACATTCCTGTCCATTGTCGCTTCCCAGCGTTTCCTCATCAGGATAAGTTGACATTCCTGTCCATTGTCGCTTCCCACCTGTTTCCTCGTTCAAGATAAGTTGACATTTCTGTCCATTGTCTATTTCCACCCGTTTCCTCATCAAGATAAGTTGACATTCCTGTCCATTGTCGCTTCCCATCTGTTTCCTCATCAAGAGAAGCTGACATTCCTGTCCATTGTCGCTTCCCACCGTTTCCTCATCAGGATAAGTTGACATTCCTGTCCATTGTCGCTTCCCACCCGTTTCCTCATCAGGATAAGTTGACATTCCTGTCCATTGTCTCTTCCCACCTGTTTCCTCATCAAGATAAGCAGACATTTCTGTCCATTGTCTCTTTCCATCCGTTTCCTTATCAAGATAAGTTGACATTCCTGTCCATTGTCTCTTCCCACCCGTTTCACCATCAAGATAAGTAGGCATTCCTGTCCATTGTCGCTTCCCACCTGTTTCCTCGTTCAAGATAAGTTGATATTCCTGTCCATTGTCTATTCCCACCCGTTTCCTCATCAAGATAAGTTGACATTCCTGTCCATTGTCGCTTCCCATATGTTTCCTCATCAAGAGAAGATGACATTCCTGTCCATTGTCGCTTCCCACCGTTTCCTCATCAGGATAAGTTGACATTCCTGTCCATTGTCGCTTCCCACCTGTTTCCTCATCAAGAGAAGCTGACATTCCTGTCTATTGTCTCTTCCCACCTGTTTCCTCATCAAGATAAGTTGACATTCCTGTCCATTGTCACTTCCCATCTGTTTCCTCAACAAGATAAGTTGACATTCCTGTCCAATGTCACTTCCTACACGTTTCATCATCAAGATAAGTTGACATTCCTCTCCATTGTCGATTCCCACCCGTTTCCTCATCAAGATGAGTTGACATTCCTGTCCATTGTCTCTTCGCACCCGTTTTCTCATCATGTTAATTTGACATTCTTGTCCATTGTCTCTTCCCACCCGTTTCCTCATCATGTTAATTTGACATTCTTGTCCATTGTCTCTTTCCACCTGGTTCCTTATCAAAACAAGCTGACATTCCTGTCTATTGTCTCTTCCCACCGTTTCCTCATCAAAATAAGTTGACATTCCTGTCCATTGTCTCTTTCCACCTGGTTCCTCATCAAAACAAGCTGACATTCCTGTCCATTGTCTCTTTCCACTTGGTTCCTCATCAAAATAAGTTGACATTCCTTTCCATTATCTCTTCCCACCCGTTTCACCATCAAGATAAGTTGACATTCCTGTCCATTGTCTCTTCCAACCCGTTTCATCATCACGATAAGTTGACATTCCTGTCCATTATCTCTTCCCACCCGTTTCCTCGTTCAAGATAAGTTAACATTCCTGTCCAATGTCGCTTCCCACCGTTTCCTCATCAGGATAAGTTGACATTCCTGTCAATTGTCGCTTCCCACCCGTTTCCTCATCAGGATAAGTTGACATTCCTGTCCATTGTCTCTTCCCACCCGTTTCCTCATCAGGATAATTTGACATTCCTGTCCATTGTCTCTTCCCACCCGTTTCCTCATCAAGATAAGTAGGCATTCCTGTCCATTGTCGCTTCCCACCTGTTTCTTCGTTCAAGATAAGTTGACATTTCTGTCCATTGTCTATTTCCACCCGTTTCCTCATCAAGATAAGTTGACATTCCTGTCCATTGTCGCTTCCCATCTGTTTCCTCATCAAGATGAGTTGACATTCCTGTCCATTGTCGCTTCCCACCGTTTCCTCATCAGGATAAGTTGACATTCCTGTCCATTGTCGCTTCCCACCCGTTTCCTCATCAGGATAAGTTGACATTCCTGTCCATTGTCTCTTCCCACCCGTTTCCTCATCAGGATAATTTGACATTCCTGTCCATTGTCTCTTCCCACCCGTTTCCTCATCAAGATAAGTAGGCATTCCTGTCCATTGTCGCTTCCCACCTGTTTCCTCGTTCAAGATAAGTTGACATTTCTGTCCATTGTCTATTTCCACCCGTTTCCTCATCAAGATAAGTTGACATTCCTGTCCATTGTCGCTTCCCATCTGTTTCCTCATCAAGATGAGTTGACATTCCTGTCCATTGTCGCTTCCCACCGTTTCCTCATCAGGATAAGTTGACATTCCTGTCCATTGTCGCTTCCCACCTGTTTCCTCGTTCAAGATAAGTTGACATTTCTGTCCATTGTCTATTTCCACCCGTTTCCTCATCAAGATAAGTTGACATTCCTGTCCATTGTCGCTTCCCATCTGTTTCCTCATCAAGAGAAGCTGACATTCCTGTCCATTGTCGCTTCCCACCGTTTCCTCATCAGGATAAGTTGACATTCCTGTCCATTGTCGCCTTCCACCCGTTTCCTCATCAGGATAAGTTGACATTCCTGTCCATTGTCTCTTCCCACCTGGTTCCTCATCAAAACAAGCTGACATTCCTGTCCATTGTCTCTTTCCACCTGGTTCCTCATCAAAATAAGTTGACATTCCTTTCCATTGTCTCTTCCCACCCGTTTCACCATCAAGAAAAGTTGACATTCCTGTCCATTGTCTCTTCCAACCCGTTTCATCATCACGATAAGTTGACATTCCTGTCCATTATCTCTTCCCACCTGTTTCCTCGTTCAAGATAAGTTGACATTCCTGTCCAATGTCGCTTCCCACCGTTTCCTCATCAGGATAAGTTGACATTCCTGTCCATTGTCGCTTCCCACCCGTTTCCTCATCAGGATAAGTTGACATTCCTGTCCATTGTCTCTTCCCACCCGTTTCCTCATCAGGATAATTTGACATTCCTGTCCATTGTCTCTTCCCACCCGTTTCCTCATCAAGATAAGTAGGCATTCCTGTCCATTGTCGCTTCCCACCTGTTTCCTCGTTCAAGATAAGTTGACATTTCTGTCCATTGTCTATTTCCACCCGTTTCCTCACCAAGATAAGTTGACATTCCTGTCCATTGTCGCTTCCCATCTGTTTCCTCATCAAGATGAGTTGACATTCCTGTCCATTGTCGCTTCCCGCCGTTTCCTCATCAGGATAAGTTGACATTCCTGTCCATTGTCGCTTCCCACCCGTTTCCTCATCAGGATAAGTTGACATTCCTGTCCATTGTCTCTTCCCACCCGTTTCCTCATCAGGATAATTTGACATTCCTGTCCATTGTCTCTTCCCACCCGTTTCCTCATCAAGAGAAGTAGGCATTCCTGTCCATTGTCGCTTCCCACCTGTTTCCTCGTTCAAGATAAGTTGACATTTCTGTCCATTGTCTATTTCCACCCGTTTCCTCATCAAGATAAGTTGACATTCCTGTCCATTGTCGCTTCCCATCTGTTTCCTCATCAAGATGAGTTGACATTCCTGTCCATTGTCGCTTCCCACCGTTTCCTCATCAGGATAAGTTGACATTCCTGTCCATTGTCGCTTCCCACCTGTTTCCTCGTTCAAGATAAGTTGACATTTCTGTCCATTGTCTATTTCCACCCGTTTCCTCATCAAGATAAGTTGACATTCCTGTCCATTGTCGCTTCCCATCTGTTTCCTCATCAAGAGAAGCTGACATTCCTGTCCATTGTCGCTTCCCACCGTTTCCTCATCAGGATAAGTTGACATTCCTGTCCATTGTCGCTTCCCACCCGTTCCTCATCAGGATAAGTTGACATTCCTGTCCATTGTCTCTTCCCACCTGGTTCCTCATCAAAACAAGCTGACATTCCTGTCCATTGTCTCTTTCCACCTGGTTCCTCATCAAAATAAGTTGACATTCCTTTCCATTGTCTCTTCCCACCTGTTTCACCATCAA